ATATATATATATATATATATATATATATATATATATATATATATATATATATATATAAATAGAAATAAATAGTTCATAATACAAGTCTGCGGTGAAAGCACATCGGAAAGAAAAAGTGCGCTATGTCATATAAAATGGCAGAGATTTGATAAATTACGAATTAAATTTCTATCGCACAGTGTACGACCACGACTATTAGTTTCATGCTTTTAGGCAATCGTCAGGTGGTCGGCAGCTGTAGTGCGAAAATTGCAACCTTTATTCCCCCAGACAGGCCTGCGATGGGAAAAAGTATATGCCCGGTTCGTGCATATCATTCACACCCCAACCAAACTCACCTGGTGCGGGGAAAAAGTTTTTCCGTGAGACCCGGGTTCTAATCTCACCATTGTTTATTTATCAGGAAGATGACGTCGTCTTGATGTTATCGGCGTGCGATTTAATCTTGCGCAATGTTGTCCCTCTGTAATTTTACAACACTAAACAGAGGGATAAAAACAATAACATTAACATTTTCTATAAAAATCAAATACACTACAAACTTTAGAAACATTATAAAGAAATACATAACCCCAGTCGACCGCAACAAGAAAATGAAATTATCTACTATAAAAAATTTAGAACCACTAACATTATAGTCCTCAACAACAAATCACCAGCAAGATCCAAATTACAGAGAACCAATATTACTTATGAATTTTCATGTCCTTTATTGGACATACCCCTACATACTTATCAAGAAGACTCACTTTACATCTCTCTGACCATGGCTCAATTAAATCTCATTTAAACACACGCGGAAACCTACGAAACTTCATCTGCAGCATACTCGTAGAAAATGCAGCTATAATAGCCTCATCCACATATAAAAATGTCTAAAAATAATGGAAGCATTGACAAAAAAAAGAAAAGAAAATCCAATACTCAATAACATCAATTATGTAAATGGTCACAATGTACTGACCATGTTTGGAAAATTAAAAAAAAATTCCATAATTCCATATACATACATAAAGCCCCTCGGCGTGGTGTAATGGTTAGCAAACTTGTCTCGCTAGATCAGTTACAACTGAAAAGTGAATTCGATCTTCACTAGGTAACAATACTTTCGGCCTCGTGCCACATCTGAGCTACACTTAGAAAATAACCATAAAGATAAACACATTCGGTTAGAATTAAAAATAATAAAAAAACATCCTAGCCCAAAGAAAACGCTCGGGCATAAAAATCATTCGGACAATTTTTATACATTTTATGACTAGAAAAGAAAAAGCTTATACGAATACAAGAATTAAATAAAAAGATTAAACGCAGCACCTTGTCTTCAATGAAACATATATACATATATATATAAAGGTGAACACTGAAATCAATACTCAGAGGCCGCCTGACGATTGCGTCTAGCATGAAACAGCCTGTCGCCTCTGAGTGTTGACTTCAATGTTCACTTTGATATTTATATTTACATACGCTCTATCTCTGATATTGAGTATTTTATCCCATAAATATAGCACACTTTAAAACTACATTTCTTCATATATATATATATATATATATATATATACTAACATCATGGCCCGGCATTGCCTGTGCTTGATTCAAAAACCGTACGACTCATACAGCAATCGCTATCACTTGACTTAAAATATTTTTGCTCTTCCTTGCCTTTAAAGGAGTGCCCTTTGCCGTGCTGATGTTGCTACATGCCTTACTTCTTGCCTATCTCACACTGTGAATTTTTTCTAAGCTCTACACTAAACATTAAATCTGTTACGAAAAAAGAACTAAACAAAATGAACACAAAACGATCAGCTTTAAAAAAAAGGACTCGTAACTGGAAAAACCGAATGAAAAAAGAATGTTAACAACAAATAATTTTTAACACCCTACCCAGTTCTGCGGAATCAGAATCAACGTTGAGTTTAAGCAAGCGAATGAGCCAATTGGAGTAAAGTGCCATGCAGATTTAAATTTTTCCCACTTGTGACGAATGCAGCTATCGATTTTTTGCATTCGTGTCAGTCAGCTGTTGGCTCTCATGCTGGCCAATAGAATCTTCCTGCCTATTCATGGCAGCCAGCTATTGGCTCTCAGTCTGGCCAGTAGAAAATGGCCGCAGACTACATGAAAACTGCCGTAGGAGCATGAAAAAATCGATTATTTCCACTATCGATGGGAGTTGGGAAATGCAAATTCGGTCTTGGCCTTTCCGCTAACCTGGAGCATGTGCCTGTAAATTTTGGTGAAAATCCATCGAAGATTGCGGCCGTACATTCGTTACACAGACACACACACATCCTGCCTTTTATAGATAAAGATATGTCTGTGTGTGTGTGTGTGTGTGTGTGTGAGAGAGAGAGAGAGAGAGAGAGAGAGAGAGAAAGCGTGTGTTTGTGCGTGTGTGTGTGTGTCTATATGTGTGCATGTAAATTTACAGCACAAGTTTCTTCAAATGTTTTATTGTGGGTCTACCTATTTTCTTGCAAATTTTCTTTTAATTATTCTTATTTTGATTATCGTATTGCCAATTAGTTGTACTTTCTTCTCGTCTCTTTCTATGCCTGTTTTTATTGCATTAATTAAATTGCTGCCTCTAACAAGATCGTTAAGCTTCAAGATGCATTAAATCTCACACCACGAAATAATCTATTGAAAATATCCCTAATAAAACCATACTCAAGTCCATCCCAGACCTCAAGGGCAAAACTCCGTGGCCCGACATTTCGTCCAACGTCACTTCGTTCACGTATTTTAGTCCGATGTCCTTTTGTTCGATGGATTTTTGTTCAACGACTTTTTGTCGAGTTTTAAATAAAATCTTTAAAAATAGAAGTGAAAATCAAAGGCAAATAATCATTGAGAATTTTATTGTATTTGTTAAATACTGTGGAAAAATGTATTTAAAAAATGAATCTAAAAAGTAATAAGATTTATAATGGTCGCTTAAAATTGACAAAAGAAGAAAAACGAAAGTTAAATAAGGCAAATACATCTCTGAGAAAATGAGCATATTGCTTTACCATAAAACAAGGTAAAAAAATAGACAATAATAACTTTTAACATAGAAGGAAAAAACGTTAATGACAATCCTATAACAAGTCTTTTTTCTGAAACAGTTAAAATTGAACAAAACGTCGTTGGACAAAAAATGTATCGGCCAAAATGATATTGGACTAAAAGACATCGACGAACGAAGTGACATTGGACGAAATCACATTGGACGAAGTGAAATTGGATGAAGTGACGCCGAAGGAAGTGACATTGGACGAAATCACATTGGACGAAGTGAAATTGGATGAAGTGACGTCGGACGAAGTGACATTGGACGAAATCACATTGGACGAAGTGACGTCGGACAAATGGACGTCGGACGAAGTCGCATTGAACGAAGTAACCGGACGAACTGACTTTGGACGAAGTGACGTTGGACGAAATCACATTGGACGAAGTGACGTCAGACGAAGTCACACTGAACGAAGTAACCGGACGAAGTGACGTTGGACGAAGTGACGTTGGAGAAAATCACATTGAACGAAGTGACGTCGGACGAAGTCACACTGGACGAAGTAACCGCACGAAGTGACGTTGGACGAAATCACATTAGACGAAGTGACGTCGGACGAAATCACACTGGACGAAGTAACCCGATGAAGTGACGTAGGACGAAGTGACGTTGGACGAAGGGAAATTGTACGAAGAGACGTCGGACGAAGTGACATTCGACAAAGTGACGTCAGACGAAGTGACATTCGACGAAATCACATTGGACGAAGTAACGTCGGAAAAATTGACGTCGGACGAAGTCGCATTGGACGAAGTAACCGGACGAAGTGACGTTGGACGAAATCACATTGAACGAAGTGACGTCGGACGAAGTCACACTAGACGAAGTAACCGGACGAAGTGACGTTGGAAGAAATCACATTGGACGAAGTGACGTCAGACGAAGTCACACTGAACGAAGTAACCGGACGAAGTGACGTTGGACGAAATCACATTGGACGAAGTGACATCGGCCGAAGTCACACTAGACGAAGTAACCGGACGAAGTGACGTTGGACGAAATCACATTGGACGAAGTGACGTCGGACGAAGTCACACTGGACGAAGTAACCGTACAAAGTGAAGTTGGACGAAGTGACGTTGGACGAAATCACATAGAATTAAGTGACATCGGACGAAGTCACACTGGACGAACTAGCCGGACGAAGTAACATTGGACGAAATCACATTGGACGAAGTGACTTCAGACGAAGTCACACTAGACGAAGTGACGTCGGACGAAATCACACCGGACGAAGTGACGTTGGACGAAGTGACATTGGACGAAATCACATTGAACGAAGTGACCCAACGAAGTGACCCAACGAAGTGACGTTGGACGAAGTGACGTCGGATGATCTCACACTGGACGAAGTGACGTCGGACGAAGTCACATTGGACGAAGTTACATCGGACGAAATCAGATTGGACGAAGTCACGTCGGTCGAAGTCACATTGGACGAAGTCACATTAGACGAAATGACGTCGGACGAAGTCACACTAGACGAAGTGACATCGTACGAAGTGACGTTGGACGAAATCACATTGAACCAAGTGACGTCGGACGAAGTCACACTGGACGAAGTGACGTCGGACGAAGTGACGTTGGACGAAGTGACGTCGGCGATCTAACACTGGACGAAGTGACGTCGGACGAATTAATGTCGGATAAAGTGACGTCGGACGAAATCACACTGGAGGAAGTGACGTCGGACAAAGTTACATTTGACGAAGTGACGTCGTACAATGAGACATAGTACCGGGGAACTCATCTATATAAGTCTTTGTTAAAGATTCTGATCAATTCTTTATACCGCTCCAGAAAATACCTGACTCCTCCTGGCATGCAAGCGTCGGATCAAACGAAAAATGGAGTATTGCTGCTGTGCTGAAGCTGCCTAATGCTCTTTTTTTCAGCCTTGACAGAATTCAAAAAACGTCTATATAGTTTTGTAGGTGCTGTACCGTCCTACAACCCCTTTACCACAGACGAAAATTTGCAAACCTCTCGCTATAACACGGCACATTCCTTAGTTCCACCTGTTCGGATCACATCAATGTACCATGTACACAGAATCGAATCATCCTGTTTTCTCTTCGTATTCCATTGGTCAGAAAGAAGTTCTATTCGGACAGCTTCTTTCCAAGAGCCGCAGCTTTGTAAAATAAAATCCCGAGGGGATGCTTCCGCGCTCACTACAATCTTAACCTCACCTGGTCTAGTGTCAGCCGTTATCTAATCCACATATACTCTTAATCTCCATTTCTTGCATCCCTGTCTCACGTCCATAAAGAACTTAATTCATTAAACCTCTTCCTTAAGTGGCTCTTTAGCCTTATATTGGGTGCACAATAGTTAAATATTACAAACATCGGTTGGTTAATACCAATTTTCATGTGAAAATATTGATTTGTTGAATGTTACACAAACACATTTATCTATAAATGTCTCTCTCTCTCTTTATACACACACACACACACACACACACACACACACACACACATATATATATATATATATATATATATATATATATATATATATATATATATATATATATATATATATATATAAATACGGATATAGACGAAGAGTGAAGAGTGAGTGAAAAGAACTAAAGGTGTAAGTTGAATGGGAAACTTCTTAAACATTGGATTGGTTGAGGTCTCAGCTGCCGTGAAGGGTCTCCTGGGAAAATGTCAACATGCACTCCACACTGACAGGAATTGAAAGATGCTACAAACACATGGTCTTTCTCATAAACAGAAATAAAAATGGGTCTTTAGAGTTAAGAATTCTTCAAATGCTTCTCCATCGGCGCTGAGATCATAACCGATTTTACTCTATGAACCATTACACTCAGCGACGTTGAATCGATTTGACCATTGCCGACAACTACCGCTCGACGTCTGCACCGCCTCCATGTTTGTTCTCATCTCTGACGTGAACATTACTTCTGTTCCAAATTGGGCATCAGTTAACATTTCAAATACTGCAGCTTGCGTATGTGTTGGGGATGTGCACAGCAACACTTCTCTCTATCTCTCTCCCCTTCAGTATATCTATCTTGTGACGTACACATAATATATCTGGAATATAAATCATAAAAACGAGTATTATTAATATATAGTCATATTGGTGTTGGCTGATGGAGCTTCGTGTCTATGAATCAATATCTAAGATTTAGGTAAGACTCCAAAAACACGAAAATGATTCTAATAAGCTCGTTACCAAAATTTACTCAAAGATGGGAAACTGAGGTTCTAATATAGGATATATCGAAACTCTCACCGATATACAATTGCTTTCTCAGATCAGTTGTTAAAGTGATTTCAGGCGAATGATTCCTGTAGGTCTTGGCGGAGACCACTTTTCTTTGAAACTCCTGGACTTGCACGGAAGGGACACAAACAAGGAACTTTGCCAACTAGCAGAAACTCTATCACTTGAGGACTTTCGACAACAGTAACAGCTAAAATGGATAGAACATATAACCCGAAGAAAAAAAAATGACATAATCAAGATGCTGATTTTCCACACTAGTTAAAGAAAAGGCTTAGGAAGAAAGTCCCCATCAATACCGAAAAGAGAAATAACGACGATTGGACTTGAGAAACCTATTTTCCTGAAAAGTTGTATTAAGAAATTTTTCACCAGCAAGTCTTGTGGTAAGACAAAACTTCTTGTATTCGCCCTTCATGTTCTTCCAAAGTCTTGGTTTGGTATCATAGACTTGATCCTTTAACCACCCCCCCTAAAAATCATAGAGTGTTAAGACTGAACTTCTGGCTGGCTACGCATAAATAAAATGGAGATACTCTTCAATCATTATGCAGTGAGATTAGCCGTCCTCTTATAAGGAAAAGTTAGGTTTTCATTGACTGAACACTTAGCTTTACTGCCAACTAAAATATTTTAAACCATCCTGTGATGACACATTGTAGTATTGATGAGAGCTTCCTTCCTAACCTTTTGTTTAAAGTAGTGTAGAACATCAACATTTTCATTATATAATTTTTTTTTCGTCGGGTTAACATGTCCTAACCATTTAAGTGGTTGTTGTTGAAAGTTCTTAATGTAGTTTTTGTTTTTTTGGTAAAATTCTTTGTGATTCTGTAACGTCAGCATATGGGATTTGTTGAAGGATAATCTTTTTAAGACTTTCTCATTCAGGCTCGGTATTTGTGTAGATGACACAGCTATTTATTCATATCTTTGTAGCAAATCCGACAGACCAGATAAAGTAAACCTGGCAACTTCACTTGAAAAGGACCTTCAATCAGGGGTGAATTGGGGGAAGAAATGGCTTGTAGATTTCAACGCCACCAAAACAAAAATGCTTTCATTTAATCACGAAAAAAGAACATTTTCTGCTTTCCATCTGCACAGCTGATGCTAAACTTCAAGAGAGCAATACTCTACGCCATTTTTGTCTTAACGTTTTCCACTGACATGAAGTGAAGAGGCTATATCGTATCAATTACGTCTGCTGCAAGGAAAGTTGCTTCACTGTGTCGTGCTAGAAAAATGATTCTCATCAGAATCCATCTTCCCCATTTATAAATCTACCATTTGTTTGTGAATTGAATACGGTTGCCGTATCTGGTCTGTTGCTCTTACAGTATATCTCGAGATTCTTGATAAAATAAGAAGAAGGGTTTGTAATGTAATCGATCCGGACAAGTGGGTCTTACCGTTTTATTGTTGAACTAGATAGATGCAATCGCCACTACTAAGCTAACAGTACTTGTCTCGCAATTTCACACCTGTTTAACGTTTAAGTGAAAAAATCTGTTGGATTAATAAACAAATAAAAAAAAACAATCCATTACTTGCTCGTTAGTATACGAAACTGAGAAGATATGAATATTTTGATAAACGTTGAAGAAATTTGCGATTAAGGACATTATTCGGCATTGCTCGATCGGTAGGACACTTCGTGGCCGAGTTGATTTAAAACCCGTCGGATCAAACGACGGTTCCTCTTGATAAGCGGGGCGCAAGTTCGAGCTTATTTCTTTAATAGGTGTTCTCGAATATTCAGGCCGGTAGACGAAAATGAATATACTGCTTAATAAACAAACGGAGCATATAACCAAATATGGGTAACCACTAAAATAATGTTTATGATGATATGTATATATATATATATATATATATATATATATATATATATATATATATATATATATATATATATATAAAAGAAATATAATGTAGTGGTTCCAACGAGAGAAAAGTATGTATATTAAAAAAGAAGAGAAGAGAGGTGCCGCTAACGTTTTTGGTTGTAATGTGGATTTATTTAGAAAAAAATATTATTTTGTGTAACCCCACACACAAAAACGCACAACATACACACAGGGTGACCAAATACAATGATCAAATCGCTCACATACATGGACGCACACTCATATACGGGAGACACGAGGAGATATATATATATGTATGTACACATACATACATACATTTATGTATGTATATGCGGATGTTGACAACTTAAGAAGTACGTGTGCGTGTGTGTGTGTGTGTGTGTACTGGTTCCATGTAGCTTGGGAAATATGTGTGTATGTGTGTGTGTGTGTGTGTGTACTGATTACTTGTGGTGGGATAGTGTGTATGTGCGTATGTGTGTGTATACGTGTATAGGTACAAATAAGTTTACGAATTCCTCGTAGTAAAACAGTATATGTATGGAGGGGAAATATACGCACGCATATATACACGCATGCTGACAGGAACACACCAAAATGGAAACAGATCCAAGAGCACATAGGGGTCACTAAAACATTAAAAGATAAAATGCCGATAACTACTCTCTGGACCAACCTTAATTGTTTTATGACCCTTCGCGCAGAACTCTTCATTGACAATTCTTGAAAGAAATTCGGATTACCAACACACAAACAGAGAATGTCTCATATCGAGAATATTTCACATTGAACATGAAGAAAAATTAATTTTTTTTTAATAATATGTAGAAATCTCCACTTTTACCTGAAGACGGTCGCGAGACCAGAAACTCGTGTCGTAAAATTATGTAAAACAAAGCATAATATTTTTTTCTAAATAAATCCACATTACAACCAAAAACGTTAGCGGCACCTCTCTTCTCTTCTTTTTAATATACATACTTTTCTCTCGTTGGAACCACTACATTATATTTCTTATATATATATATATATATATATATATATATATATATAATGAAGTAATTTCATAAATGCTGTACACTGGAACGTAACAATAACAAAAGAAAAAATAATGAGTACCTTCATTTTTCATCTTTAATTCGGGTGTTTAGTGATGCTGTAAATTAGAGCAATGGATTCAGTTGATTGGCAGCTATTTTTAGCTTGAAACGATCGCCTGCTTCTTATTCATTCTTCATATATTTTTGCTTCCCTGATAAATATAATCTTCATAAATTTAAATCGCCATCACTTGTCTTCCTGAACCCTCCTCATTTTTTTTCTCCTTGCCTCAATTTTTCCACATTTCAGTCTTTCTATTCTCTTTCACTTTCACTCCCTGTAATATATGTATGTATATATGTATGTTTATATGTCCGCGTGGACGGGGGATTAGAACGTTCGATTTCTGACCATGTGACCGGGGTTCGAATCTCACCATGGTTGATTTGTCAGGAAGGAGCCTTGTTGATGTTATCAGTCAGGAGTAGGGACGATCTCGGCGTGCGGAACCTTTGGAAAGTTTCTCAAAGCTATACCATGGGTTGACACAAGCTTTGTGAAATTGGGTATATGGAACACTTGGGGGACGTCGATAGCTGTGCTAGCACGAATTCACAAGTCATCGTGACCGAGTGTTTGAGTGTACTGGCCTTGTTCAAATTGTTAGATAACACGTTTCTCTCTAAGGTCTGCTAGGCAATAGTTGCAGTATAAACCACAGGTGGGCTCTGTGGGTGTTGAGCAAACAAAAATGTGTCTGAGCGAGCGTCTGAATTAGGGATCGGCAAGCGTATCGAATACGAGTGGCCAGCTGATATATATATATATATATATATATATATATATATATATATATAATACACGGAACAATTTGGTTTTATCTAATCGTTCGTTTCCTACTACTCCACCTCCTACGCAGTTTCTGATCTTCATCAATGTCATCAATTCCAAGGTATTTATGCTGATGACACGACCATCTTAGTAGCAAACCCTATACACCCGACAAAGGAACCTGGCAACTGTTCTTGAAACGGACTTCCAATCAGTGGTTAACTGGGGAAAGATATGGCTTGTGAATTGTAACGTCTCCGAAACGAAACTGCTTTTGTTCAATCACCCCATAGAACCTTTTCTACATGTCTTTTCTAAACTCCAGAAGAGCAACACTCTACACCATTTCGTCTCCGGTCATTTTCTTACCGACGCGACGTGGTTTCCTTCTGCCTGTTTAACAAATATTTTTATGTTATCTGATGAGCTTTTTCTCTGGTGCCCCATCTATACGAATTTAAGTATCCGACTAGATTAGCCACTAGGTTTCACCATTTTACTGTTGTAGAAAAATATACAATTTTTACATCATTCGAAAGAAAAATAAATCCTGCATAACGCATACAGAATAAAACTAATTTATATTGTTTTATTTGAAACATATTCTGAAATGAATAAAGCCTTAACCATCGGTCTTAAACTTATTTTCGCAAGTGTATAGTCATCGGTTCAGTTGAGTTTCTAAAATCCGCTGATTGGAGAGACGATTTGTCGCTACGGACGAAAACTGATTTGAACATTAGTATTACTTTCCTATGTTATGACTTCAGGCGATTCATCGCTAAAATGCAGGTAAAATAAGCAGCTCCCTGTACCGCTCTACTAATACCTGATTCGCCATGCTATACCTTCATAAGAGCGAGATCCGGCCGAAAATGGAGTACTGTTGTCATATTTGCGCGGGAGATGCCCAGTCCTCACTTTCCAGTCTTGATAGAATTCAAAATCGTCTCTGAGTCCTTGTTTGGGAAGAATTATATTCCACCATCCAATATCTCTCTCTCTCTCTGTCTCTCTCTCTCTCTCTGTCACAGGCAGGGTGTGGCGAGTCTCTCATTGCTCTATCGCTACTGTAAGTGCGCGAACTATATTCCTTGGTTCCGCCAGGTGTAACCTCCACTGCTAGGACCCACCATGCCACTTATATATTAGCAAACCACCCACATTCATTCCCTATTCCATCGGCGAGAAGAAATTTCCACTCAGACCGCTTCTTCAAGCGAACCACTGCTCTGTGGAACAGACCCCCAAGAGGATGTTTCCCCGATCACTACAATCTTAACCAACTTAAATCTAGATTTAACTGTTATCTTCCTCACCTGTCCATGTTAACTGCCCCTTAACGTAACCCTCTACCTCGAGTGGCCCCTAAGCCGTTTACAGAGTGAACCTTACTGTAAAATAAATGCGAAACTATCTCAGCCACAAATTCATATTGTAAAATCAATACTGAATCTTCATAGAGTGAAGAGAACCAGTAAAAGTGATCATTAGTATTTATTTTCAAAATATTTTATCGCACTGGAATTAGAATGGATTGGGACTTAATTTATATCTCTATAAATGCAGCCATGTGCCAGATTTTGTATAGTTAATAAATCAAATTATGATTACTGTAAAAAAAAATGACTAAAGCAATAATTCACCAATTTAGAACTTTTGACCCGATACTGTTCCTGTGGCATTTGTCAATTCATTATCTTTCCTGAATCGCCGATATACGAAATTTCCGTTTTTGTTTTTTAAATCAATCCGCTAGTATCAATCTTACGTTGATCCTTTAAGATACTTTGATATATATCTTATTCTAACCGAATTTTTATTACGGAATTAGATTGTTCCCAAACCCAACTCTTATAGCATTGTTATATTTCTATATTTTTTACAAACCTATAAACATATCTCCTAGTAAAATCTTAAATCAGTTCAACTTTAAAAAAAAACAGTTTTTATACTTGTAAAATTCTAGATAGCTTAATGGTGGATTTTATTGTATCACGTGTGCATGTATTTATGCACGTGTGAAAAGGAAACCCATTAGCACAGAGGCTTTTAAATTTGATGCGCTAATTACGACTTGGTTATTTCAACATTTCTATTTACAATTGTCTATGGCTTACCCATAATTCCCACATAAATATGCAGTATAAATATTTATCAAATTCTCAGAGCATTATACAATCATTTTCGCATTGTTCGGCTTCTCTTCTCTTCTTTAAAAAGCCATAAAATCGTTTCCACTGGATACAAAAGCATACGTAAAATATTCAGCAGCATCGTAGTTCAATTCCTTGTCCGTAATCACCATTTAGCACCGCCAAAATGTTGCGCATGATTTGGGCCCGCAATTTATAGTTTGATCACTGCTATCAAAATAGCATTTATCCGTACAGCATAGAATACAATAGATGCTTTGTAGCCTGAGCGTATTATCAGTTGCGGAGGAGAGGGGTGAGAAAGAATGCCTGTGAAAACATTTTTGATAGCAGGATCCAAGAAAGCAGGTGAAAATACTTGCGATGTACAATTCATTGTTGATGTCCTCAAAGTCTCGTTTGTGGCCCGATGGTGTTTAATAGCGCCTGCCACAGAGACGTGAGTCGTTGACAACACACTGGAAATAGATTTGCCAAATGGGAAAGCATTAGAAAGAAAGAAAGAAAGAAAGAAAGAAAGAAAGAAAGAAAGAAAGAAAGAAAGAAAGACAAAATGGAAAAGAAGAAAAAGGGAAAAATGACCAAATGGTAAAGATGAATGAAAAAAAGACAAAGAAAAATGTTAAAGCAGAAAAAAAGAAAGAAAAACACATGAGAAAGAAAGAAAGAAAGAAAGAAAGAAAGAAAGAAATAACAAATGGAAAAGCAGAAGACAGAAAGAAAGAAAGAAAGAAAGAAAGAAAGAAAGAAAGAAAGAAAGAAAGAAAGAAAGAAAGAAAGAAAAACGAGTAAGTAAAAGCCAATTCAAGAAAAGAAATAGAGAAACAAGAATATTCGGATAAGAAAAGAGAAAGAATGTAAAAGAAAAGAAAAAAGATTTAGAGAAAGAAAGAAAGAAAGAAAGACTTAATGGGGAAAATTAAAGAAAGAAAGTCAAAGAACAATTGTTAAAGCAGAAAAAAAGAAAGGTAACGTGAGAAAGAAAGAAAAAAGAAAGATCAATTACGAAAGCAGAAGAATGAAAGAAAGAAAGAAAGGAAGAAAGAAAGAAAGAAAGAAAGAAAGAAAGAAAGAAAGAAAGAAAGAGGAATAAAAAAGAATAAATATAAAACAAAAAAGAAGAACAAATTCTCCTACTTCTTTTCCTATGTGACGTGTTCCTTCGGAACGTTGAAGCTCATTTCTCTCTACATTTTCCTGTTTTTTGGAGCTCAAGGCGAAAGAAAGAAAGAAAGAAAGAAAGAAAGAAAGAAAGAAATGGAGAAATGGAGAAATAGGAAAAAGAAGGAAAGAAGATATGACGAACAAAGAGGACATCTAAATAAATAAGTGAAGAACGGAAGAAAGAAGAAATTGGAAAAAAGAAATAAAAACTTAATAAAAAAGTAAAAAAGAAAAATCAATGAAGGGCTTAAGGCAGTTGTGAAAATAAATAAGATTCAAAATAGTTGCAAATATTTTATAATATCAACAGGAATTTTCAAATTAAAAAAACAAAAAATATGGCAAAAGAGAAAAAAGGGATAATGTAAGTAAACTGATAAGAAAAGATTTAATTTGAATGAAAAAAAAATAATTATGCCCAAAAATTAAACAATAAACAACGACATCGAGAAAAGAATAAAAATGTCTTATACAAAGGAATTCTATACTAGAAAAAAAGCGTCATTCAGTCGACAATAAATGGCGTGTCTTTCTTGCGTTGAATTTCATTCAAAAGATATTCTACCATCATTATGCTGCTAAAAAATTATTTTTCTTATATCGCATGAAAATCTGCACATTTCATGTCGACTTACCAAATGTTATAGTTTGATAAAAAGACTATTTATGCAACATAAAAAAAGATTTCCTTATCCGTTCATACAAAATATTGAATTCTATTGACCAGGCAAATAAAGATAAGCCATATTATACGATTGGAAGGCCGAGGTGAGGGATACTTCATATTATTTTTAAAGTGTCTAAAGAAATACTAGAGTTACAAAGACTGAGTTACCGTTAGTCTATTCTGTATTAAATAAAAAAGGGCCGCCACAATTAAATTATTTCCTCAAATTTTCCTAGCGGAATGGTCCTCATACTTATTTCCCACCAAAATGACTCTTACAAATAGCACTTGTATTTGGTAAACAGTAGAAAGAAAGTAAGTTAAAAATACGGAATGTACGCTTGTATGCCAAACAAAAATGCAGGCACAATTAAATAATTTTCGCCACCCCTCCCCTGCTTATTTTGTTCGGCATATTTATTATCTTTCAAATTATATTCTCCGCGGCACGATTAATTGATTCCACCTTTATTAAATTCATAAATTCCCGCCAGCATGACTATTCCAGGCCCCTTGTAATTGGTCCAAAAGACTAATTAATGAAACAGAACTTATGGGCATGTCACATTGATTCACAGAAGTTAAGCAATGTTGAGCCTGGTCAGTATCTAGATGAATGACCGCTTGAGAATGAAGCGTGGATGTGCGGCTGTTCTGATGGATAACGGCTCAGAATGAGAAATCAGACTGCTAAGTTAGAATTCCAGGAAAGTTCATGGAATCCATCTCTTCTCTCTCCAGCTCTAAATAGCAGAACAGAATGGGGGCTCTATAGCTTTGGTTAACAACCAGTCTACGACAGAAAGTAAGGACAACCTACTGCCGGAATTCTTCTGAGAAGCAATTATGTATCGAAAAAAAAACACGATCGTCCAATCATGGCTCATGCATGGAAGCGAAGAAAGAAAGAAAGAAAGAAAGAAAGAAAGAAAGAAAGATAGAGAACTGAAAGATGTTATCTTGTATTAATACACTCATATATCAAATACATTTTAGGATTGCATATCTATGGATGTGTTATGCGTTGACACCGGAAATACAAAATATTTTTTACCCCTAGATAAAGAAGTTAACTTATTGGATTTCAATTTTTTTTAATTGTAGTATTTAAATTTTGTATTTTTATATAGCACTTTGTTGCTACAAACATTTAAGAACTTTCTTGCTATATTCTTAGTTACCTTTATTTATTTTTGACCGCAATTATCTTATATATATATATATATATATATATATATATATATATATATATATATATATATATTCTTCCAAAATTTTAAGTTTTTACTTATTATGAAGATTGTGTCAGATGAGGTTGAAAGTACTTGGAAAAATAAAATTATTTGAAAGAAAATTTTGGAATTTTTCTTAATCAATTTTCTAAAGCCACCAAGAAATTAATTCGTCGACTCGAAAGGATTAAAATCAAAATAGATATAATAAGTCTAAATTATATATATATATATATATATATATATATATATATATATATATATATATAGATAGATAGATAGATAGATAGATAGATAGATACACCTAGTGAGCCAGACAAACCTACCTAGGTTTCACCTAAACGGATCGTCAGGGAAATCAAAAATTCGAGGGTTTTTCGAAACGAGTCTAGTTATCTATAGTTATCTATATATATATATATATATATATATATATATATATATATATATATATATATATATGGCCGTCATTTTTCTATTTTACCGTTAGATCAGTATTTCATCATTTTGTTTTGTTTAGTCTTCAACTTCTGCAATAGCTGAATCGATAGAATCCACCATGCTGGCGAATCGTCTTCTCTTTTGCGTTTCTACAATCGACTTCCTTAGAGCGAAAGATTTTATGCATACTTATAAATACATATTCGACCATTTACTGTTTTTTTTTTAAATGCCCAATAGCAAGAGACGAGTGGTTATATATATATATAACCTACGTGTCACTGGAGACTAAACAAGAGATATTACAAACTAGACTTGTTGCGCATCGATTAAATGATACATTTGCCGGATATCTTTTCTCAAAAGACTTCATTTTGAACGTGAGGCTGACGCATACTAAATGCAATGGTAGACTTTTTAGAACGTTACAATCTTTAGTCTCCAAGTGAGAGTCGCCATGAAACGTGGTAGATAACAATAGTTTCAGTTTCCAATTGTAGCTTGCCTAAAGCAAAGAAGTCAAGACGCCCCAACTCATACAAAAATTATTATCTTTTTTTAAAGAATGGCTTCTAATGGTACGGTTCTCTTTCCTCTTTTAGAAACCTTTCACTAAAGTAACATTCGTAATTCAGTAGACACGTTGTCGTTGAACAAAAGACAAGCACACCTCACATACATGATTGATTTTCCCCCTGGCTTTGTTTGCTTCTATTTCTTTGTTCATTAAATCGTGACTGATGTTACAACAACTTAAGGGAAGAGTTCAGTGTCGTCCTTTTGATTAGTAATCCTAAATAACTTTTTCGTCTCTGATGGCCGCAGACTATTGACTAGAGTCATGATGGCTCTTTTTTTTAAGATCATTCTCTTACAAGTAAATGTGTCAGGGTTCGATTCCAGCTAAATCTTTCTCCCTTTAATCTTATGCAGAATCTTTTCTCAAAATCAAATGTATAAAATATTTGCATCAAATGGGGAAGCGAGCCTTCCAGTATATATAGACTTACGTTGAAAACACGATCATTGAAGTTAAGAAACATTGAACCTGGTCAGTAACTAGATGGGTAACTGCTTGAGAAAAACAGGTGCTGTAAGCTTGTAAGTTCGTCTGGTGTAACAGTTCAGAATTATAACTCGAAGAGCCGAGTTCCAATTCCAGTCGGGTTCGTTATATTCACACACGAAAATACCTTTGGAAAGGTATGAGTCACCTCTACTCCCCCATCTATGTGTTAATTAGTAGTACTTGTATTAGTAAATCAATATTATCTCAAAAACATTTTACAATCTAAAAATATTTTCTGGCTTTAAATAGCATGCAAAAGTTTGATAAGCCGTAAAAAATAAGTCACTCAATCCTGTGTATATAATTTTCCATCAGGCTAATCGATAATTTTATAAAATATAATATAGTCTTTCAATATTACTATTTGTTGTAAGCACGTTGGGACATCTTATAGTTTTGGGACGTTGTAATTTCTTTCTGGATAGATGTTTTCTCTTAAAATTATTATAAATGGCAGGTGCGATCGAGGTCAGATAATAACTGACGCTTTTCTGTTGCATTTAGTTTCATTAAAAAGAAATTCTATCGACATAATTCCGCTGAAAATATATTCCTGTATCGCTTGAAAATATAGCAATTTTATCCCGACTTTCCAAATATGGAGAACTCAAATGTTTGAATAACAAGAATTCGAAGAGAAATGACAGAATCGACATGTTGACATTTTTGACAGAATCGATATGTTGACATTTTTGACAGAATCGATATGTTGACATATATGACAGAATCGACATGTTGACATTTTTGACAGAATCGATATGTTGACATTTTTGACAGAATCGACATGATGACATTTTTGACAGAATCGATATGTTGACATTTCACATTAATTCAAGTAAGAAAACCCCCATTAATACTGGAAAGAACGATAAAAGCTACTGGACTTGGGAAACCAGTTTTTTTGCGGTGTTTTTTCTCAAAAAATTGTTTTAACAGATTTTATAAATTTCAATCGACATCAATACTGTCTGCTCGGTCATTGAAGGCCAAATGTTTCCTTATAAGGAAACATTTGGCCTTCAATGACCGAGCAGCCAGTACTTATCGTTCCATGGTGTTGAAGTGATGTAATTTGAATAAATGATAAACTTTTACAGACATACATCTTCGTAAAGCAATTAGCGCGAATAATTGCGAGTGTAGTAATTACTGGCATATTGTTCTGAAAATGAGAAGAGAACATCCCAAAAGTTGCTAAAGGACAAAAAGTCACAAATTTGAAGCCAAGCCATTTTTACTTTGTATCTACTAATAAGCGTGTCAACAAATTCAATATCGAAAATTGTGATCAATTTTAGATTTCAAAGCTAAAACGTATCGATAGTATATGAAATGTTTCTAGAAATTAGAATATATAATTAAAAATAATTCTGTATCTACACAAATCTTTCATCTATTCCATATATATATATATATATATATATATATATATATATATATATATATATATATATGTATGTATGTATGTATGCATATATATATATATATATATATATATATATATGTATATAAAAGTGAACATAGAATTCAACACTTAGAGGTGAGAGTCTGTTTCATGCTAGATGCATTTGTCAGGCCTGACGATTGAATCTAGCATGAAACAGCCTGTTGCCTCTAAGTGTTGACTTCTATGTTCACTTTTATATTTACACACGCTCTATCTCTGATATTGAGCACTTTATCCCATAAAAATAGCATCTTAAGACTATATTTCTTCATATATATATATATATATATATATTGAACAACAAAATCCAAAATGACCTCATATGGGGGATTTGAGGTAATTTTTGATTTTGTTGTATAATTTATATGCTCTGTTATAATAAATACACTGAGCTCTCTTTGTTATCAGTTTTAATATTTGATATTACGAGGACCCACTTAGTTTATATGCCAGCAGATTTCTTACCAAAATGTATATATATATATGTGTGTGCGTGTGTGATGAGGTATAATATGATAGAACAATCTACACCGAAATAACCGGGTATTGAACTCACACTCTTTGGATTCTGTCACTGGATCTAACCAACGCCTTTATCCACTGTGCTATGTGTCCTAGAGTAGAATACCCGGTTAAGGCAGTGGAGAACTTGGAGAGGGGAATTAACAGGAGATAACTGATAATTGACATCCATTAAACAGGGCACGTGGAACTAGAACAGTCTATCCCTGTGAGCAAAATAAAGGGTTCAGTTCGACATTCCAACCCCCTGAAGAAGGCCGGAGCGCACATCGGCTGAAACGTTGTAATAAATATGGCGACCAAGATGAGGACAATAATCCGAATAATGTAAATAGTGTACAGAAAAACTTCATTAGAAACAAAGAAAAGAGTACTGAACTATTATGTGATATCTGTCCTTCTATGTGACAGTGAGTGCTGGACAATCTCAAAGATGAAGAGACTTGAAGTAACGGAAATATCGTTCTACAGAAAGATGCTGGGGATACCGTAGAGCAGACATGAGAGCAACGACGAGTTTTTGAGAAAATGGAAACAAAAAGGAAACATATTAAAACAGGAAGAGGCAGTTAAAATTTCTGGCGAACGTAATGTGGAAGGAGGGCTTGGAAAATCTGATACTCACAGGACAGATTGAAGAAAAACAGGAAAGAGGAAAACAGCGTATAACATACATGATGGGCTTGAGTAAATGAATTGTAGAACAGGTTTGGGGAGAAATAGCAAAAAGACAAAACTTATTAGGAGCTACAAGACAGGAAATTGTGGAGCGCCATGATCCCCTACGTCCTGAAGGGACACGACGCATAAAGAAGACTCGACATTCAACTACATCGAAAAGAGGCGCATGCGCAAACCGCAATCTATCCTAGTCAATACAAAAATAAATATAAATTTTTAGGACTTTGGTAATCAAACCGATCACTCGATCCAATCCGGAAAAACAGATCTAGTTATCGTAAATACAGGAAACATTTGTCAGATAGAAAAGGTTGCTATTGCTACAGATTGTGGGAAAGGTAAAAGCTGGAAAATATCTTACCCTTACGAGAGAACTGAAATAAAATTTCGAAAATAAGTGTGACGAATGTACGTATAACTATTAGCACGATTTTGACAGACGTGAAGACTATGCAAATAACACTGAAAGAATTTAAACTATCCAGACAAAATCAACTCAGATACTGAGGAGAGTCCTTGATTGTTCAGGAGATTTGCTGTCACTTGATTTCAA